CAACAATAAAAAATAATGTAAATGTTAAAAGCAATACTATTTACACAGCATTTACATTGTATTAGGTGTTGTAAGTAATCTAGAGATGATTTAAAGTATAAGGAAGGGTCTGTATAGGTTATATGCAAATACTGCACCATTTCACATAAGGAACTTGAGCTCCCATGGATTTTGGTATCTACAGGGGATCCTGGAACCAATCCTCCATGGATACCAAGGGATGACTGTATTAAGTTTCTACGTCATGAAAACAAAAGGAAATTACCCCGAATATAAAACATGTTTATGAAATAATCAAAGAGCCAAAAATGTTGAGAAGAAACATGCTGCTTTCTTTGCCCTTTTTGTAGACCCGTTTGCATCTTTATTGACTGGCAGATATTCTATTATTCTAATAGATCTCTTTTCCCACAAGAGGGTTTACTTGTTTATCTAATATGATACAAATAACTGTCTCCTTAGACCTAAATCTGTAGGGTCAATTAGGTATTAATATTGGACTTTACAACTTTAGACCATCAGAGCAACCAAGACCAATTCATGAAATGTATATGGTTTCAGATCACATGACTGTATCGAGGACTTTAGAACTGGCTTTTTAGAAGTACTATTGAAAGAAAAATTTCAGTATAGCAAACCGTTTCTAAGTTTTAACTAATGGTCTACTTGTGTTAAATAATACTCAACATGAATCCCAGGCAGACTTTTAACTGTCTTTTGGAATTGGGTTGAGTGGGATTTGAAGCATGTATGCTCTGTAAAGCAGGCAATGAGCACATAGTAATTATTAACTATTAAGAAAAGGAAAATAGAAAATTACATTTTAGTTGTCCCTTAAATATCAGCACAACCAAACTTAAGTGCAAAATTCGCAACACAAATGATTGCCTCTGGGCCAGGTGTGGAGCCCCCATATCACAGCCAAAAACTATTTTCTGAACTTCTCCAGGAGCTGTAACTTTCTTCCTTTCTTCTGCACCACCCCATTGCAGGACCCAAATCATTTTGTTCAATTTAGATAGCTGTGTAAGGCTGAGTGCCAATTGTCTTTTAAAATATAAGTGTTAATCAGACAGCATTCAAGATGGTCCCTACAAAAACATCACTCCTTCACTCAATTGGGATGTGCCCTCCCGAGTAGGGGAGAAAGAGCTGAGTAAGAGGCAGCCCCTTGGAATCTGCACAGAATCCCGTATGCCCCTGGGAGTGCGCAGTGTGTGTCTGACCTGCCAGTGGGGAAGGGACAGGAAATGCTGCGAGACGCACTGCCAGGTCAGTGACAGTGACCATTGTCACAGGGGCTGTCTGAGCATGCGCAGCATGGAGGGAAAGCTGTGCGCAGGCTATCCACAGCACAGCTCTACTGGACCAAGGAGGGTCTCAGCAAGGAGGCGTGTCCCTCCAACATTGTCCTTGTCCCTGAGGGCCCCCACTGAGTGTTAGATGGCACATAAGAGATGTCATTATATGTTGACAGGAAGGAGATGATGAGGTACAGGAGGCCCCTGCCCCAGGCAGGGGAGAAGAGAATGCAACAAATTGGGTTCTTAGAATGGCCTGCGGGGCAGCGCCTCCTGCGCTGTCAGTTCCCCTCATCTCCCAGTTTTGGGTGTACCTAGTGTGGTTTCATCAAGCTGCTGAGGTCCTGGAATCGAGGGAGGGTGCTGAATGGTGCCAGACCACAGGCAGCGGCATGAGCTGCAGGAAAGAGCCAGAGCCTCCAGTGTGGCTTTCAGGCCTTGGTGGCAACCAAGAAGCACATGTGGCCGTTGTACTACGGACGGGGCTTCTCAGACAGAAAGTTTGAACAATTGATGGCGTGGAAGCCTGTGCAGAAATTCAGTTCAACCAGCAGTTAACAGACATTCACTCCGCGCAGGCGTGGGAGGGGCGGTCTTTAGGGAATGCAAGAAGAGCAGGGCGTGGGCTTTAGTTAGTCCACTTTAAACATGTTAAGCTGAAGCTTGATGTGACAACTAAGTGAAGACGTTTAAGTTTGGAGCTCGGAATCGGGCTGGAAATATAAATCAGGATTAAAGACAGTGGGTGCGATCCCCAAAGAGCACCTGTGGAGAGAAAAGAAGACCAGGAAGGACACGTGGGGGAGGGGCTGGCAGCAGTGGAGGGAGGGCAGATGGAGGAGAGGGTAGGGGGGCGTTATTTTAAAGGCGGTGCTGTATCAGCAGAAATGAAATTCCCCCCAAAATTCCCAGAGATGTGAAATGCCTCAGATCCCTTTAGGGCGATGGTGCTGGCTGTCTCTACTGGTGGGCATGAGGCAGCCGACCACCCATGAGCCCATTAGGATGGCCCGGACTCTGTGCTCACACTACCCAGTCATCGCGATTGTGCTCAGTCCTCACTTGCCCTTGCAGGCAGGCATTGCTGCGGGGACAGAGAAGCTGGATAACTTGCCAGAGATCCCGTGTAGGAAGCCAGGTCAGCATCCAACCAGCGTCTCTCTGACAGCCCAGGCCTTGCACGAGCACCGGCCTGCTCCAGAACACATGTCTGTGGTGCGTCTGAATTCACAGGGCGGGGTCTGCACGAGGCCTGTGAGGAAACCTCCTGGTCTGACAGAATCCAGAAAGAGCAAATTAAGCTGAACAGCCAAGCCTGACACTATGCTGATGACATGCCCCAGTCACGTTAGGCATTAAGCCAGTCAGTTATCAAAGCTCCTTCTCCTTTCATGATTTCAGTAACACTGGCCTCTTCCTTGGGTCCCTGTTGCTCCCACTATCTTCTAGGATCTCTTGCACTCAGGGTTTAGTTTTCCTCCCCACAACTGATGATGCTGCCCTACTGCCCTGCTCTCTGGTCCTCCCTCCTAAGTCTGCTACTCCCTCTGCTCTTTCTCTGCCTTATCTGACCCGTCTAAATCCAACATGCAGATTCCAACTCCTCTCATTTTTCAAGTTTCAAGCTTACCATCTTACAGTTTTCTTTTCCCAATACTTTCCATAGCTCTCCAGGGCTCTGCAAAGCACATTCTTGATGGTGGAGTTCAAAGTCATTTATAAATCTGATCACAGGGCTCTCTGCTTACAGGCAGCTACCATGGACAATGAAAGCATGACGACATGGTCCTCTTTCTTTATGCTGGCCAAGTCAGCATCATCACTATTACCTCAGATTATATCCATCTCGTCTCAAAATCTTCATGCACTCCCTTCCAATGAAAGTAACTGAGTACTATACCATCGAATCTATCATTCTTTCCCCTCTCTCTGGAGTGGGACAGGGAGCCAGCTTGCTCTAGGAAATCTTCCCAGATGAGCAAAGAGCCCTCCCTTCTCTGTCCTCTTCCCTATGTGATGTGGGCATGTGTGGGCCCCAGGATGGGCATTCTGGGCCACCTTGACCTTCCCCATCTCTCATCCACACCCTCTCCTCTCTTACCACCAAAAGCCCCACATCCTCTTACCAATCTTGGGACATACTATCTGATGTGTCTATCCGTTACTATCTGATGTGTCTATGATGGGAATATGTGATTTTTATATCTGTGTATCAATGTTTTGGCCAATTTGCATTTCTTGTGGGTACAGTTTTATGTGCTTGTGCATGGGCGACACACATAGGCCTAGTTCCAAATGATCTGAAAGGAACATAATCGCAATAGAATATTTGAATATAAATCCAGCATACGCATGTGATGGCTGGGGAGAATGTACGTGGGATTTCAGTCAGGATTTTATTAGAGAAGGTATGTGATTAGCACTGTCATTGTCAGTGACTCCCTTATAAATCACCTTATACAACTATTTTTTGTCTGTGGTCTGATGTACACATAGAGCCATAATCTCTGAGGTGATAACAGCAGGTGCTGAGTAACACTCTCTGTACATAATATATGCAAAGAACTGCATAATTGAATAGATGCTAAAGGGCTTAAAGAAAACAAATACAGGCCCAGCCTGGTGGCTCACACCTGTAATCCTAGCACTTCGGGAGCTCCAGGTGGGAGTAATGTTTGAGATCATGAGTTTGAGACCAGCCTGAGCAACATAGTGAAACCCCCATCTCTAAAAAAGTAGAAAAATTAGCTGGGTGCCCTGCACCTGCAGTCCCAGCTATTCAGGATGCTGATGCAGGAGGATGGTTTGAGGCCAGGAGTTTGAAGTTGCAGCGAGCTATGATGACACCACTGCATTCTATGCCCCGCAACAGTGCAAGACCCTGTCTCAAAAGAAAAAAAAAGGATCTCAAAAAAAAAAAAAAAAGAGCAATTACGAAACTTCCTAAAAACACAGTTGGAATTAACAAGCACAATGTTGTTCTTACAGTTTCAAACTCTCATTAGACGATCTACTTTTAACTCATTACCTGTCTTATTCCTTTCACAATAAACCCAAAGCTTTTATTGTACTGGAGTATTTGGGTTAATCTTTTGTTTTTCTGTCATGTTCTGAAATACATACAATAACAAAATCACTCAAAATATCACCGCTGTTAAATGGTGATGTTTTGTGCCTTAAGAAGAGATCCACAACAACATTTGGGGACCAAGAAATCAAATAAATAAAGGATTTATTTATGATCTCTTTCCTTCAATAGAAGTTTACATTCTCTTGATAGTGTCTGGTTACCTGCATTAAGAATTTTGCAGGAGGAAAACAGCTCAAAGAGGACATTCATGTGGATTCCGGCTTACATTCGGTCATCCGAGTAAAATGATCTCAATTGACTGAAGAGGTGCAGGGAAGCACTTCCTGGAGTTCTCACGTAGGGACTAGAGCATATTCGGGCGGGGCCCATCACCTTCACCGACGCTCCCGGACGGTGGCGGGTGGGGCCGGGCTTTGGCAGTGACGCTAAGAGGGACGGGAACGCGCCGTGGGGGGCGCCCGGGGCTGCCGCCCCGCCCGAGCCCGGGATTGGGCCCGCACCGGTTCCGCCCGCCCCGGCCCGCTCTGCGCGGGGGAAGCGAGCTGCGTCCTGTGCTGGTTGCCCGGTGTTCGCCCGGGAGTTAAAGCCGGCAAGTTTCGTTCTTTAGACCAACGAGTCTCCCTCCGATGCGGGAAGGAAAGCTGACCTCCAATTTGGACGTTTAAAAAGCTGAGCTCGGACTGGGTGAGTTTTGCTTTACGTTCCCTTTGAAATTAAGCTGGGCTTGCAGGTAAAATCGCTGGGGAAGCTGGACCGGGACGAGGACTCTCCCCTTTGCTCGCGTATTTTGGAAACGGACTGCGGTAGTGCAGCCTTAGTTTGCCGCTGGCCGTCGGTTTCCTTCCTTTGTTGTTTGGGCCCCCAGAAGCTCAGGGCGTAAGTGGTGGGAGTGACAAGAAACCTTTGAACAAAACTTGCCTAAGAGTTCGGCTTATAACTCGTGCTCGAAAAGGAAAACTAAGAGAACTGCTACTCAGTCAAAACTTACTTTTCCCGTACAGGAGTAACTGTCTTGTGTACTGAAGTCATTAGTCCAACATATTCCACCTCTTGATGAAAAGGGTATTGAAGCCAGCTTTTTTCGTATGGAATTAATATCTGTGATCAGTTGTACGATAAAAACACTGCTCTGCAGCCGACAGCATCTTAATGGGGGGGTCGAGACCCCTCTGTGGGTGGAAGTGTTGTCTTTCCTTCCGAATCACTACATGGGGAAAATCCGAGCACGCTTGGCGGGATAAGTCTCGAGTCCCTGGACAGTTTGTTCTTTGTGCCGCGGACGGCAGACGGGCCCTCGGTCCTCCGGGAGGGCTGTGGGCGCGGGGCTGCGGGCTGCCCGGCCTCCGCCCCGCCCCCGCCCGCCGCGCGTCCTGGGCCGGGCTGCTCGCGCTCCAGCGCCAAGGAGCCTCGGAGTCTCTCTGCGCGCCCCGGACCGGGCCACGTCTCCGGAGGGCCGCGGAGGGAAGAGTCGCGAAGGGTGAAGACGCACTCCGTCTCGGTTGGCTCCAGGACTCAGGTTGGAACGCGAGCTGGGCCCGGGGCCCGCCGCTCTAGCCGGGACTGCGCGCGGCCCAGCGTCGGGAAGCTGGGGAGGCCCTTCCCGCCGCTCGAAAGCGCGGAGGGCGCGTTCCCTTCCCGGAGCGCCTTTGTTTCCGCCGGTCGCCAGCGCGGGCGCCTGTGACCCCCGGGCCGAGCCGCCGCCTAGGTGGGGCAGGTAGGCTGGGGGGCCGGGAGCTCCAGTTGGGGACAACTTCCCTGGGCCGCGCGGGTTCCCCCTCCCTGGGGTGGTCCGGCTCCGCGATGCCGAGACCGACCCGAGCACGGTAGCCACAAGGCGAACGCTGCGCCCACGGCTTCGGTTTCCGGCGGGGACCCCAACTTTGAGGCCACCTCCAGGTTGGAGGGCTGAATTCGGGTAGAATGCCTGCCTCTGGCTGGAAAGGAGGAAATGAGTTACTGGCTGGGGAAATGGAGACAGGGAAGTGGGCAGGCAGGGGAAACTGGGAGATGACAATCTCTTATCTCTAGCTAGCGGGGATGTCTTAGCTACTCTCACCTTTGACTCTGCCGAATTTTATTTTGCATCCTGATGTGACAGTTAATTGCTTGCTCAGATACCATGCAGGTAAAAGTAACAACTTTTAATTTGACTCTGGCTGCACACTGTATTTTTCTTTCCCAGTATTCGTTTTCATAGGTTAAGTTGAAGGGACATCAATGTAACCACACAGTGGCTGGTGGTGGCTTGTAGCTCATATTTAGGGTAATTCTCTGATGAAAGCACATCCATCAGAATTGGACTTGTTCCTTTGTGCCCTTATTTTGGGAAACCTTGCGTGGTCCCTGTGGAGGAAGGGAGAGGGATGTGAGGAGCTGAAGTTGACCCAGAAAAAGATGATTGGAAGTAATTGTTTTAAATAGTGTCACCGAAAAGATCCCACCCTGAACTTTCCGAGAGGATGATTAGTGGTTAGCAGCTGAGGTTTCAACTTTCTCACAAGAAACTTAAGGTATATTCTGCGTCGTCACAAGGGGGAAAGCGAAACCTACTTTTTGGAGCAAACTCTTTGGTCTTAAAGCAAGATAACTTTAATACCCGAAATGTTTCCATTATATACTTTTGCTCCTTCTCAGGCTCTCTCTTTCCTCCTCCCCCACACACTCTGAGAGCATTTATCAGCTCCCTCTCAGAGGCTGACTCAGCCTGACACACCCCAGCCCTCCAGTGCTCACTGTGACACCTTAAAATTGAATGAGTGTTATGACCGGGAAGCTCAAGCTGGAGCCCAGAGAAGCTGTTCCCAAGAAAGTGAGAGATGAGGACAAGTAGGAGATAGAGATGCTTACAATTGCTTTGCCTACAAAGAAAACTCAGAAGGTGGGAGAGAATTTTCAAAATAAATTGCAGGCCCTATCAAGTAAAAACTGTTACATTATATTTCATTAAAATGGAGATCAAATTTCCCTTTTTATAAAGGACATTCAAATGGTGAGATTGTAGGAAAAGGAAATAATTTTCTAATTCTCAAATATAGAACAACTTGAATAATAACTCCTGGGTTTTGAAATGGGTCATCTTTTAAAATGGGTCACTTTGGCTAGAATCATTGCACTGGGTGACTTTCAAATTATAAAGGGTCAAGTTCTTTCTGAGGTCCAATTGCACTGGAATCTACATTTCAGAACACAGGATGTGGTAGAAAGAAACTGGGAGACATTCAGAAAGAAATGATCTCTTCTCAATGTAATGAAGTATACCCTATTGGGGGGAATTTTATATATGCTCAATCGAATGGATCTAAGCTTTGCATTTTATGGTACATTATGCTTTTTTTGAAATATCTCCATAGCCATTATTTTATTCCATTGTTAGAATAATCTTCTGAGGAGATGAATTCATTGTATCTGTGTTCCAGAAACTGAGGCACAGCAAATTATTACAAAAGCTCTGCCATTTGACATTGAATCTCTGCCAGCAAAGATGTAGCCAGCATAGCGTAAATCCAGAATTACTTTTCTTACAGTATGCAATGTCTATTATGTATTAGCTTATATATATATATAAGCTATA